AAAAAAGATGTATTACATACAAGTACAAACATCCTTGTGAAATTGTGAATATTACAAAAAGACCACTATATAAAATTATTACTGATCCCTGCTGAAACTTAGAGTCTATGAGCTGACACTAACATAAAACTACTATTGAACCCAGACTGAGAATTTCCATGCACTGTTCGTTATCCCCATCTATTTACCTGAATTCACCTTCCACTAAAAGACTATGCTCTCTCTTGTTGAATCCCATCCCATTACCTAAATGTCATTTGTATAGGGGCCCTCCTGAGCAAGTGGTAGTATTCCTTCCTCTCAGTCAGATGCCCCATGTTAAGTCCCACCATCTCCCACAGGTGTTTCATGAATAGTTTGATTGAAAATATCTATTAATGTCAATTGTTGTTTAATGATGGAAAATATCCAAAGGAGCTCATCAAAAAAACACAAAAGGAAATATTAGGACAGTTAAGAAATAGGTTTCAAAGAAATTCTTAAGGAGGTCAGAGACAGTTAGAAAGGAAATGTCAGACCTTCAGTTCGAAGCATGAATGAATGCCCTGCTGCCTGTTAACAAGTTAAAATTGTCCAGAATTGATGGATACAGAATCGGAGGGTTGTAGACTTTGAGGACATTGCAGAGTTAAGGAGCAGGTAGCAACAGAGAATGCGAAAACAATGAGAATATTAAAACTGAGGTAATTTCATACCAAGAACTGACACAGGATAAAGCCAAATGAGTAACAGGATCAAATAAGAGATCTGAATCAAATCTTTCTCCCCCAATTCCCGGCCCAGTAAAATTTCCTCCTCAGAATTCCCTTGCCTATAGTTACAACCCCACTCCCAATAATCAAGTGTCTATCAAAACCTCATCTCAAGCAACTCACCATCTTGAACATTTTCTTCCATACCATCGGAACACAAAGGCAGCAGCATGTACTATCTACAGAGAGCACTCTCTTTCAACAGCATCTTCCCAAGCCACAAATTTCACCACCTAGTATTAGGGCATCAGACATATGGGAACAGCACCTTTAAGTTCCCCTCCAACCTACACATCATCCTAACTTGGAATTGTATCTTTGAACCTTCACTGTAGTAGGATCAAAGAAAAGGAATTCTCTTCCCAACAGCACTGTGGGTGAATCTACATCACATAGATTGCAGAAATTCAAGAAGGTTCATTACCATCTCCTCAAGGGTACTTAGGAACAAGCAATGAGTAGTACCCTTACTGGTGGCACTCACATCCCATTACCAAATAATAAAAAAAAAACCACCCTCCAAATGATAGCATACACCAAATGTCCCCAAATGATCAAACCTATTTCTTACTGACCAACCAAGCATTCATGCTGTCAGAAACGACCCTTCTTTCTTGAATATACCTTCCATTGATCAGATCATCTTCTATTACACTAGATTCTTCATCCCCACATCTCCTTCCACTGCATCACTATTTGTTGGCCAAAATATTTAGTCTGCCCCCACTGTGAACTCCAGGCATCTCTGGCCATGACTCAGCTTTCTCTCCCCCTCATTTACTGTTTCCTCACATAAGAACATAAATCTAGGAGCAGGAGGAAGGCAATTCAGCCCCTTAAGCCTGATGTGCCATTTAATTAACATTCAATTCTATGGGCCAAGTGCGTGAAAGTGGAACTAGTGTGGATTTAGAGTAATTTTTGTCAGTGCAGGCTCGATGGGCTGTACTGTACGATTCTATAATTCTATCATTAGACTCTTAGTTCAAGTTTTTTTTGGCCTCATTATATGTCAGAGCTAGTGGTCAAGTGAAGGAGAAGAGAACCCACCATACATACAATGCACAAACAGAAACAGAATGCTCAGCCAATTAGGCCATGCTTTTTGAGTCTCTTTCCATCTTTTCTCATCTAAATCTGTATTATAATCCTCTATTCTCTTCTCTCTCATACGCTTGCCCAGTTAAACACATCTATACTATTTACTTTGATCACTCCATCTGACAGCAATTTCCACATTTTCATCAGTTTTTGCACCATGAAGTTTCCACTGAAGTTTCACCTGAATTTCTTGGTCACTCTTATATTGTCTCTTCGCACAAGAGGAAACATGTTCTCGGTAATCACTTGCTTAAAACCTTTCATAAGATCTCCATTAATTCACCCCCTAGGCATCTTAATAAAAAAGGACCAAGCCCATCAATCCTTTCTCAATACCTATGGGATTTCTGGTACCATCTTTCTAAATATTTTCAGTACCCTCAGCATTGCTTCAATATCTTTTTTATAACATGGGAAGCAGAACCAAAGGCAGTAATATAAATGTGATGCAGTCAAAATTTAATACATAGCTTCTCTATTTTTCAAATCCATCCCTCTAGAAACAGGGCATTTTTAGTGGTTTTGCTAACCCTCTGCAGATTGAGTAATTGATATATTCGTACTTCGACATTCCTTTGTTCTTGCATCTCAACAAGACTCAAATTCCAAGTAATTGTTGCTTTTCTATTTCTCCAACCAAAATGTATTTCTTAACATGTATATGCAATTATTTTCATTCATCAATTACATGTTCATTCTGCAAGTTTATTTTGAGATTATTTATTATGTGTATGATTTGTATGACCCTCAGCATCCAACACATTTCTTGCATTTCTGCCCTCATCTTTCCCCTCAATCCCAAGACTACAACATGATTCCCTTTGTCCTCCCTTTCCACCCCGCTCTAGTTTCCACATTGAAAAGGATCATTCTCCACCTTTACTGCCACTTCTAGCTGGATACCTCCACCAATTATTCCCTTCCCATCTCATTTCAACACTCCAAAGGGCACGTTCCTTCCACAACACCTTAGTCCGCCTCCATCATCCCAACATCTCATTCTCTCCCCTCCCCCAATAACACCTTCCTATATAATCACAGAATGTGTGACACTTGTCCCTTTAACCCTTCCCTTGTCCAAGGCCCACATACTCATTCCAAGTGGAACAATGATTTACTTGGACCTCTTTCAATGTAGTCAAGTTGCATCCACTGCTGACAATGTAGTTGTCTCAACACTGGGGACCACAAATGCAGAATGGGTCACCACTTTGCAAAATACCTCTGCTCAGTCTACATGAATGATCCCCGACTTTCCAATTGCTTGCCATTTCATTACACCACTATGGCCTCACGCTCAAATTTCCGTTTTTGGCCTGCTGTGTTCGAGTGGAGTCCAACACTATCTGGGAGGAACAGCAGCACCTCATTTTATGTTTAGGCCCTTTAAAGCCTTCTGGACCCAACATTGAGTAGAACAACTTCAGACCAGGTAACTGTATTTTAATATTATTTCCTCATTCCAATGTCCCCATTCTTCCGCTATCCCTCAGTATCTGTATTGTTTTTATTTACAGTTTTACATTCAGTCAGCTTTGCTTTTATTTGAATTCAAACTTTGTTTCCATCCCTTACTGGGTATGTAATCTTGATCAATTGCCTTGTCTTCTCCACAACCAATAACACTCCCTTTGTCTTTTGGTCATTAGTGATCCACTGGAGATCCAGGGATCTCCAATCTCCCCAAAACTTTCCCCGACTATCTAGAACCTAAAGGCCTGTCCTTTTGTTCCACTTGTCCCTCTCTCTTTTTTCAGCAGCAAAAAACACACATCTCTTCCACTTCTCTTCAGTTCTGAAGAATAGTCATTTGACTTGAAACATCAATTCCGCTTCTCTCTCCAAAGATGCTGCCAGACTGAGTTAAATTTCAGATTGTCAGCATCCATGATATTTTACTTTTATATTACTGCAAATTTATATATTGCATTTCTACTTTGTTGCAGAGCTCCTCAGCATTGAATATTAACCACACTAATTTACAATCACCCAGAAGACTAGACATTGCATTTTTGTTTCCAAAGTCTAAATTGTTGATCTATGTTGTGAACATCAGTGATTGTTGTACAGAATCAATTCTGCCATACTGCCCAAATGGAATAACTACCCATAACTCTCACACTCTGCTTTCCATTTTGAAACATGCTGGCCATCCATTTGCCACTTGTCCTTGACTCTACATTCACTGATCTTAATCACTGTCCTATTATGGGCATCATATCAAAGGCCTTCAGAAAATCCAAATAAGTTACATCTACTACACTGCCACTGCAAATCCTCTGTTACCTTCTCAAAAAATTCAATAAGATTTGTCAGGTACATTTTTCCCTTTTGAAATCCATGCTGATTGTTCCTTATTGTATTTCTCATTTCCAAGTGTTCTGATTCCTTCCTTCAATAAGGGTTTTTTATATAAACTTTCGCAAATATTATACTCGAATCAGAGATAGTAGGAACTGCAGATGCTGGAGAATCCGAGACAACAAGGTGCAGGACTGGAAGAACACAGCAGGCCAAGCAGCATCTGCTCCTATGATGCTACTTGGCCTGCTGTGTTCATCCAGTCCTGCACCTTGTTGTGTCGCAAATATTATACTGACTGATTTATAAATTCCTGGATATGTTCTGCCTCTATCCTTAAATATAGGAATTACAACCAACAATCCAGCAGCAAAACCTTTTCTCACAATAACAAGAGTAGTAGTAATGTCCTTGCTGTCTCTTCGATACATACTTCTGGATGTACAACATCTGGATCTGGAGTTTTATCTTCTTTGCGTTTACCATTTTAATTTTAGCTTGAACCTCTCTCGTTTTGAACCATCATCCAGAAGACAGGAAGAACTATCTGTAGTATTTCGTATTTTATATCACTGAGAATAAGCAAGTTGGGGTTTTTTTTCTCGCATATTGCGAATCAATGGAACTGTTAATTGGTGGGTGCACTTTGACCCATCAGTATTATCTTCTCCTTTACAAGCAGCAGTGGTATCTTAAAAGTAAGGGAGGCTGTAAACATTATATTGGATTGTTATGCTATTCCCCTATTTTATCAAGTCATAAACTGAGACCTAGAGTTAGATGCCGGGGAGTAATGATGAGAGCTGGTGAATGAAGGCCCAGTCCATTTGCCTCGGCCTCGTTTACCTGTAGCTGCCGTTCCCTCAAAGCCCTCAGCCGCTCCTTCCGCCTGAGCGCCTCCTCCTGCAACTTCCCAGCTCCATCCGCCATCTTCCGGCTGCACAGCGCCTACAATTCCCAGCAGCCCTCACGACAGACGTAAACAGCCGATCAAAAGACGACCGGCCAGAGCCGACACCAGAAAATGGAACATCGAGTGTATCGATTCGCATGCTGGACACTAAGCTGGATTCTTTACCAGCTTTTTCAAACTCCTTATCATTAAAATAAGTTAGGAACACAAGATAATGGATAAATATAGGACATCCTTGAAATAATTTAATCATATACTTATCTAGCAAGAAACTTCACATTCTAACGTGGTTGTGTTTTTTCTTGTAAGCTTTTCAGGAAATCAACAGTAAAACTTACTCATACATACCAGTCTGACTCATCTTGTGTACTTTAAAATGGAGTCACAGTTCATTTCCAAGTATTCTGTTTCTTTTGTCGCATTTTTCTTCTGAATATATACTCCATTAAACACAATATGAATGTTAATAAATTAATACCAAGCACATTATTCCGAGCCCAATACCAGAAAGGGATGGAATAAAGCAGTTACATATTAAATCTCTCCTAAGTTCAATGATCACCACTTGGTCGTAGAAATGTACATGTTTCATATAAAAATATGACTATAAAACGTAGGACCCAAGGTACGCCAATCAACCCATCAAGACTGCTCCACAATTCAATGAGATCATGGTTGATCTGATAATCCTGAACTCCATTTTCCTGTCTTTACTCAATTGCCCTTGATTCTTTTACTGATTAAAATTCTGTCAGTATCAGCCTTGAAGACATTTAATGCTCTCTGCAGCAAAAAATTCCACAGCTTCACGTTCCTCACGTTCACGAAAAGAACTGCCTCTTTATCTGTCTCTAAACTGTGCTCCCCCTTGCTCTGAGATTATGCCGCCTGGGCCTAGATTCTTCCACGATGGGAAACAATCTTTCCACATCTACCCTGTTAAATCCCTTATGAATCTTATATGTGTCAATTCTGGACTACCTCCAATTTTAATATACCTTTTCTTAGACAAGAGAACAAAACCAGTTCACTGCATGTCAGGTGTTTTCTAACTTGTATAATTTCAGTGAAACTTCAACATTTTTGTACTCCATTCCCTTGGAAATGAAGGCTAACATTCCATTTGCCTCCCCTACTACCTGCTGAACTTGTTTGCTATCCTTTCATTATATCTGTGTAAAGAATCATAGAATCCCTACAGTGTGGAAACAGGCCCTTCGGCCCAACAAGTCCACACGGCACCTCAGAGCATCCCACCCAGACCCATCCCCCTATAGCCCACCTAATCTACACCTCGCTGAACACTACAGGCAATTTAGCATGGCCAATCCACCTAACCTGCACATCTTTGGACTGTGGGAGGAAACCAGAGCACCTGGAGGAAACCCACACAGACATGGGGGAGAACGTGCAAACTCCACACAGACAGTCGCCCGAGACTGGAATTGAGCCTGGGTCCCTAGCACTGTGAGGCAGCAGTGCTAACCACTGTGCCACCGTGCCACCGTGCTGCCCCTATTCCCAAATCTGTGCTGTAACTTTATGCATTGTTTCTCCATTCTTTTAATTCACTTGTGGGATGTGAGAGTAACTAGCTGTGCCAGCATTTATTGCCCATCCCTAGTTGCCCTTGAGAAAGTGAGCTGCCTTTTGAACCACTGCAAACCACTATAGGTAGACCCACAATGCAAATAAGAAGGGAATTCCAGAATTTTGACCCAGTGATATGTTTCCAAGTCAGGATGGTAAATGACTTAGAGGGAAACTTGGTAGTGATGTTCACCTTGTCCTTCTAGATGGAAGTGGTTGTGATTTTGGAAGGTGCTGACTAAGAAGATTTAATGAATTTGTGAAATGCATCTTCAGTACATAATACACAATGCTACTACAGAAATTCAGTGGTAAAGGACGTGGACGTGGTGCCAATCAAGCAGGCCACTTTGCCCTGAAGTGTGCAGAGTGATATTGACAGGTTAAGTGAATGGGCAAAAAACTTGACAGATGAAACAAAATGTGGGGAAATGTGAGGTTATGTACATTGGCATGGAGAATAGAGGAGCTTAATATGATTTAAAAGGAGAGAGACTGCAAAAAGTTACAGAAAAAAGGGATTTGGGAGTGAATCTCAAAAACTAGCATCCAAGATCAGTGGGGAGTAGCGAAGGCAAATGGAATTTTGGTTTATATCTCAAAGGGAGTGGAGTATAAAATTAAGAGTTTATTTATGATTACACAAGGCACTTGTCAGACTTCAACTGGAATACTGTGAAGAGTTTTGGGCTCTTTATCTAAGGAAAGATCTATCATTAGAGGCAGTCCAGAGAAGGTTAATGCCACACTTAGTCAAATGTGGTCTTGATATCAAGGGCAGTCACTCCCAATGCACTACTGGAATTCAATTCTTTTGTCCGTGTTTGAACCATGGCTGTAATGAAGTCAGGAGCTGAGTGGCCCTGATGGAACCTGAATTGGGTGCCAGTGAACAGGTGTTGCTGCTTTTTACTTAAATATTCAACTCCTCTATTCCTCCTGCCATTGTGTGTAACTTCATACTAAATGTTTACATTTGTGTAGACATAGATATTTGATCTACTGGATTCTATAAAGGTCTCAGTGGATTGGAAAGTCACAATGTAGCTGCTCTATTCAAGAAAAGGTAAGACATTAAGCAGGAAGCCTTTTTGTTTCCAATTAGCTTAACATCTATGATATGGAAAATGCCAGAATCCATTATTAAGCACTTTATAGCTGATGACTTAGAAAATCAAATTACAATCAGGCAGAGTCAACAGGCTTTTGTGAAAAGGAAATTGCGCTTCACTAATTTATTAGAGTTTGCTGAAGCAGTTCAAAGATGTGCAGGTTAGGTGGGCTGGCCATGGGAAATGTGGGATTACAGGATGGGGGTGCGTGGGTCTGGGTAGGTTGCTTTTCAGAAGGTCAGTGCAGACTCAATGGGCCAAATGCCCTTAATCTGCATTGTAAGAATTCAATGATTCGTAAAGAGGTAACCAATTCATCCACATACTTCACTCTTGCAAAGGTGTCGATCAATGAATACAGTTGTAAGGTTTAAGTAAGTATAAACAGATTTATAATGCAATATATTATCAGCTCCCTTAACACTATGCTATTCAAAAAAAATTCAACAATAAGTGCAAATTATTCTAATTTAATAATATAAGCATGACTTGTAAATGGGAGCAGGGGTAATGGTGAGGGGAGTAGAGAAAGGGGTGTCAAGGGGAGTGCCATGAAGCTTTGGAACTCTTTTCCCGAAAAGATAGTGGATATAAAATCTTTGAATACTTTTAAGACAGTAGACAAATTATTAATAAATTAAGGTCTAGGCAAGAATGTTCAGTCATCAGATCAGCCATGATCTTATGGAATTGTGGAGGAGGCTCAAGAGGCCGAGTGTCTACTCTTGCCGCTAATTTATTTGTTCATATGATGGTACGTAAAGCAGTTTAGAGAAAGTTCACTGAACTGATTCTAACTGGTTTTTGGGGTGAAAAGGTTGTCATACAAGGAATGATTGAGTAGGTTCAGCCTAAACCCTCAGAATTCACAGGAATGTGATTTTATTGAACCGCATAAGATCCTGAGGGGACATGACGAGGCAGATGCTAAAAAGATGTATTCCCTTTGAGGCAGTCTCAACCTCAAAGATACCATTTAAAAATTAGATCCCTCCCATTTAGGACAGGGATGAGAAAAAAAGTTTTTCTTGCAATGTGTTATTAGTCTGTGGAATTCTATTTCCCAGAAAGTCAGGTTTTTTTGGGGGGGGCACATGCGGTGGTGGTGGTGGTAGTTGGAGGGGGTACAAGAAAGTGGAAGAAAGACCATGATTGGATCAGCCACAATGTGCACAATCCGATTGAATAGTGGAGTCAGCTTGGGGAGCCAACTGTGTATCTGTTCATATAAACTTTAAATGTCATGTTTAATGTTTTCATATGTTTCTTGTATTTTCACCCGTTTCCTTCAATATAAAACTGTTACATTTTTCCAGATGTTTCCGTTTCCACATTTAAACCTTACATCATAGGTACAGATCCAAACTATGAGTGTTATTTTCTAGATATGTACAAACTTTGAACCATATTTGTCTTGACCAGCACATTTAATGGTGCTGCCAGTGTTACTTTCTCAAGAAAATCTAACTTCTCAGAGGTGACTACAGTCCTTGTCATCTCCGTACATCTCTATTTCATCTGGTCAGGGAACCCGATAAACCTTTCAAAAAGTAAGAAAAACATTTTCAATTTAAGATATGCCTGTGGGTCAATCAATTCCCAGATATTAAACACATGCAAACTTCAATTTTCCATGTGTGGGAGACTGGTGCATTGGCTTCATTGAATTTTAAGCCGACCACTTTACTTTCCCTGCACCAGAGAAACATGCGTCAGGTGTCTAGCCAGAAACCCCACTGAACGGAGGGTGTGAGAGATGACCATCCTGCATCTTTTTAAGACATAACTGCTACCCTGTGAATGAGAGGGCAAAATTGAGTGCGTCAAAGTGTATCCACATTCAACACTTGCATTTAACTTCATTATGAATTAAACAAGCCTAACTTGTGCATTGCACTGCTGTCAGGAATGTAAAATGTCAAGTATTGCAGATAACTACTCCCTTCTTCCAGACTGTTATTTATGTGAAAAGGGAATCATAGTAATTTAGAGTGGTGTTATGACTCTTAACAGGAGGGTGCTTTGGTAATCAAGCCCCATTACTTCATGAAACATACCAAAAGTGTAAATGTTTTATTTTGTCATCAAAATAGTTAATTTGTTCCTCTTTCTTACTGTTATCCAGAACAGAAGAGATTTTCACCAGGTTCTTTCAAAGAACTCAGAAATTTCAATTGTTAAAAACAAACATTCCAGCAATAAGTGGCAAAACGGCGACTATTTGGAATCAAACTAAATTCCCTTAATATCAACACACACAGTCACATGACAGACAATACAAATTTTCAGAGATGATAAATATTTTAAGAACAAAGGCACATAGCTAAGACAACCCGTTGAGCCAAATGTCCGTTCTCAAAGGATGAAAATAGGAAGATTGTCACAGTCCAATCAATATTCCACAGTTGAGAC